GCCCTCCTTGGCGGGGTTTGGGCCGACGCCAGTGATTCCGGCGGACCCCAGTCGAGGCTGGGAATCGTTTGTTAGTCCGGGCATTTAGAGACTTGCAATTCTGGCTGCAGCGGCAGCACAGCCCGCCCAGTGTTGCATGAGCCTTGGGATACTCCACTTCGCGCCAGAGGCACGGTGGCGGATTGCTGGGTCTGTATGTAATTTTCTCTCCAACTCAATTCTCATGGTTTGAACTTCCCTGTCATTCGGATCCCTTCAGATCCCTGTCACTCTATCTTTGCTTATGAAGAAGACCCTTCACAACCCTAGATTCCAATATGCAAGCTCCTCTTCCAATCAATCGTTAGGCAATTATATACGCTTTGGAATTCTCTGTGATTCGGAATCCTTTTCTAAGTCTGGCTTGTAATGTTCAACATCCTTTGTTACGCCATTTCATTATGTCAGTTACAATTCCCTGACAAATTCGATTTTGTGTCTGAGATTCGGAAACTGCTCAAATTCTGGATTTTGACGTGTCGTTGTTTTAACGTGGAATTTTAAGGTGGAACTTTCTATCCAATTCAATCCTCTGACACTTTTGACTTGATTTTCCTTGTAATGTAGAATCCTTTTATAAATCTTGTTTTTACTGTGTAAAGTTTGCATTTCAGTGTGTAAGTTCCATGCCAACTCAATTCTCGGGCAATTCTGATTTGACTTCCCGTGTGATTCTGAACTCTTTCGAACTATTTTTGAATATTTGAATAGATATATAATTCTAGATGTAGATATGTAGCTCTTGCTTCAACTTTCGGTGAGTCAGACTCCTCCTCTAACTCTGGACGTCAACATGTAAGATCCCTTCTGACTCTGGATTTAATTGTGCAAGTTTCTTTCACAAGCAGTTCTCTTGCCGAAGTTCATTTGCAGCTTTGGATGTCAATGAGTCAGATCCTTTCTATTACAATTCAATTAAGTATACTCCAATTCTGAATTAAGTTCTCGCTTGTGTCAACTATTTTCTCACTCCGGATTTCACGATGTAAATCCATCTTCGATTGAATTATCCGGCATTTATGAATAGAAGGTGTCTGTGGTTTTCGGAATATGTTTAATTTTTGGATCCAATGTGTAACATCCGTCCGACTCCCTGGATTTTACTATGGAAACCCTCTCCAACTCAATTCCTTGGCCATTCTGATTTGATGTTCTGTGTGCTTCGGACCCTTTTCTAATCTGGACTTCGATATGTAGATTCCTCTCCAACTCAAGTCTCTGGTCAATTTGAATCGAATATCTGAGTGATTCGAAATTCGTTTTCCTGACCCTCCTTGGTTGGGTATTCGTTTTGCATAGAGCACTGCGCGGGTGTCCTTCCTCCCGCCTCCTCCCTCCTCCTGACCTCTCTTCGCCGTCCCTGGGGGGCTGCGATCTGCGAAACTGTCGCCACTTTCGGGGGCTGCTGGTGGGTCCAGCGGAGTGAGGCACCGCGCAGACCTGAGCTATACCTCGCCGTCCCTGGGGGGCTGCGATCTGCGAATATGTCGCCACTTTCGAGGGCTGCTGGTGGGTCCAGCGGAGTGAGGCACCGCGCAGACCTGAGCGAGACCTCGCCGCCCTTGGGGGGCTGCGATCGGCGAATCTGTCGCAACTTTCGAGGGCTGCTGGTGAGTCCAGCGGAGTGAGACACCGCGTAGACATGAGCGAGACCTCGCCGTCCCTGGGGGTCTGCGATCTGCGGAAATGTCGTCAATTTTGAGGGCTGCTGATGGTCCTTCGGAGTGAGGCACCGCGCAGACCTAAGCGGACCTGAGCGGGACCTCGCCGTCCCTGGGGGGCTGCGATCTGCGAATCTGTTGCAACTTTCCAGGGCTGCTGGTGGGTCCTGCGGAGTGAGGCACCGCGCAGACCTGAGCGAGACCTCGCCGTCCCTGAGGGGCTGCGATCTGCGAATCTGTCGTCACTGTCCAGGGCTGCTGGTAGGTCCAGCGGAGTGAGGCACCGCGCAGACCTGAGCGAGACCTCGCCGTCCCTGAGGGGCTGCGATCTGCGAATATGTCGTCATTGTTCAGGGCTGCTGGTGGGTCCTGCGGAGTCAGGCACCGCGCAGACCTGAGCGAGACCTCGCCGTCCTTGGGGGGGCTGCGATCCGCGAAATTGTCGCCACTTTCCAGGGCTGCTGGTGGGTCCAGCGGAGTGGGGCACCGCGCAGACCTGAGCTATACCTCGCCGTCCCTGGGGGGCTGCGATCTGCGAATCTGTCGCCACTTTCGAGGGCTGCTGGTGGGTCCAGCGGAGTGAGGCACCGCGCAGACCTAAGCGAGACCTCGCCGTCCCTGGGGGGCTGCGATCTGCGAATCTGTCGCAACTTTCCAGGGCTGCTGATGGGTCCAGCGGAGTGAGGCACCGCGTAGACCTGAGCTAGACCTCGCCGTCCCTGGGGGGCTGCGATCTGCGAAATTGTCGCCACTTTACTTTTGAGGGCTGCTGGTGGGCTCGTCACTTTCGAAGGCTGCTGGTGGGTCCAACGGAGTGAGGCACTGCGCGGACCTGAGCGAGACCTCGCCGTCCCTGGGGGCCATGTCATGTTGTTCCTGTCCCGCCGACGTTTCATGCCCCTTGCCCACAGGTTGCTTTTGGACCTTGTGTCTTCCTTAGTGACTCAGGGTTTCACGTAGTGACTCATCTTTTTTCTATTGACAGTGGACCTGCGAACCTTCCGAATGCCGCTCGCAGAAGTATATGCGTCCATGTCACGGCGCTGCCTTCTCGTCAAACCTCCCAAGCTACTCCTGCCCCGCATTGCGCAGGGGTTGGGTACGTCGCCAGGGTAATTGACTTTGGGTTTTGATGCATCAACTCGCATCCAGTTCAGTTATAATGCAGATTCCCCTGAGACTCTGGAGCCATTCTGCCAAGGTCGACCGCAGTGCACCTGCCAAGTCACGACTACAGCATGCCCGCCGGGAACGATTATTGATACCAGCGCTTACAGTACCGCTACAACATAACATGTTCAGTGGATAATTTATGTAGTGATCATGTATAGTATTTGTCGAGTCCAACCCATAGCATTGCTGCAGTGCTTCATCCAGAGTGGCGCTGTATCCCTGTCTGTTTGGCCAGTCTTGACCTTACTTTGCTCCTGCAGCGTTGATGTTGTTTAAGTTTAGACGTCCAAGGGCGTCACATTCTTGCCCTGCATCCTGACTGCCGGCTTGTAAAGCGCAAGCCGGTGTAAGAAGCCATCTTCTTCCTGTCCCTTCTCGATTTCCCTCATCCTCCCCATCAACCTCCTCCTTCCCCTCTTCGGGGCGCTCAGCGTTTCCAGTGCTTCTGTGTGGAAAAATGCTGGAGCCAGACAGGGCCAGAGGGCGCAGCGATTTCGCACACTCCAGACACGGCAGGCTTCAGGGGCAACGATAGTGGGGGAATAGGCGCAGGGAGGGATGCATCGACCCCCAATTGCCCGTTGATCGCCGATCGGGGCCCGATAGTCCAAACCTGCCCAGGAAGGTCCCGATGCACCATCGGAGGCCGATCGCCGATCTATCAGCGATGTATTGTCGGCATCCCCCCTATGCAAGTTTCCTCCTATCGTTGCCCCGCAAGGCTGTCCCCATCCAAGGCTCCCCTGCTAATCTACGAAGGGTTCAACTCAGTTTTTCTTTCGTATGCGTAGCAGGATGCTCTCGTATGCGTAGCAGGGCGCTTTCCCCCATTTCCTCGGAGGCGATGAGGTGTTCAGTCGTCTTCTGGTTCCCTCGAGGGCTCGTGGTGCTTCAGCTGCGCTGTGCCAGGGAGCCGGCGAAGGATGGTCGGTTGGTCGCGACAGCGCAAGTCGCCCTCCCGCCCCGCCCGCCAGGTAGGGTGGATAAGGAGATAGGCGAGCAGTGCGGAGGAGGAGGAGAAGGAGGGGGGGGCAGGGGCGGAGGAGGGTCGGGAGGAGGATAGTCAGGTTGGTGTGATGATGCGTTCGGGTATCAGCGCGCGGCGACAGCTGGTTCGCATCCACGCACCTCGAAGGGCGCCTGCCCTCCTCCACGTTGTGTTCGGTTCGATCGATCCGGTTACACAGGCGATTCGATCAATCTGCGATCCCGGGCAGCTTGGGCAGCCATAAGATTTAGAGGAGGAGGAGGAGGAGGAGGAAGAGGAGGAGGAGGAGTAGAAGGAGGAGGAGGAGGAGCAGATGAGAAGGAGGGAGGAAGAAGAGAAGGAGACGGAGTCCGAGGCTAGGACTTCTACGTATTCACCGCCCAGGAGCGCCCGGGGAGCCGATTTTCCTGGACCTCGGGTGGCCAGGGTCCTTGGAGATCGGTTCCCCAGGCGGCGGATCTGTATACACTTTGGTGTCGATCTGGAGGAGGGGTAGGAGGATAAGGAGGAGGTTCTTCTGGTGCCCCCAGCACACGCCTGGGTGCGGGTGAGGTGGCCCCCAGGCCTGGGTGTCCAGCGTGGCCTGCCTTCAGGGGCACCTTAGGAGTTCTCGGGGGGTGCTCGCGGGAATTCAGGCAGACTTCGGATGAGGATTAGGTTAGTTCTGAGAGCTCCCCGGGACGCTCTCAGAGCGTTCTGGAGCGCTTCAGAACGGCCCTTGCGCTCTAGGCACGCCAGCTCCCAGAGATTCCCCAGGTATCCTCGTCCGAGTTTGTCCTCATCCTGCCTTCGTCTCAGGAGTGGTTCTATCGGGATCTGGAAAAGGTGCTGTTCGGCGTTCGGGTCGGCCGAGTCCCTCAGGCGATTCCCGAGCGGCCAGGGCACTGACCTGATTCACTGTGGCCCCGAGGTGCGCAGTTCCACGGCGGATCGATCAGGCCAGTGCTCGGACGGCCCGGCTGGCACCCGAGCGCCTCCCCCGGACCCTCGGCGCAGCCTGGCTGCCTTGCTGCTCCCCGCCCTGCCGTCCTCCGTGCCCGGCGGTGGTCTGGTCACGGCTGCAGCAGCCGCTGCGTTCCTTCCCTCCTCCTCCGCGGTCTCCGCGGTTGTCCCGGGTGGCGGGGCCTCCCCGTCCGCAGGCTCTGCTTCTTCGGCTCCTTGGTCGGCATCGCTGTGTTGACCAGCTTCGTGTCCGACCTGGCCGAGCTCTTCGGATGCGTCATCGATTCAGGCGCGCCCGAAGCTCGAGGTACCCTTCCGTGACGAGCCCATGTCTGCGTTTGGCGTGTTCCTTTTTTTTCTGTCGCCGAGAGCACGAGAGCGAATGGGGCCCGCAGTGTCCTGATGCGACGCGGGATGATCCAGCTGCCTGCGAGACCCCCGCTCACACGGCCAGATCAGCACCGATGCATGTACATGCAGGGCGGTTCCCCCAGGGTCTCCGAGCAGGCTGGGTCGATTCATCTCGGGGCCGCCCAGGACGCGGCTCTGCGATGCTGCAGTGTGGCGACGCTGTAACGTGCCACGGCTGTGGTGCTGCGTTTCGGTGGCTTCTCGCAGGCCTCGTGGTGGGGCCCTCCAGGTGCTCTTTTTGGCCGTCTTAGGATCGTTCTGGATCTTTTCCCTAGCCATCTTTGCGTTTGAGTCAGCGTCTCCGAGGCCGTCTTGAGCCGAACGTGTTGAAGCGACATTGCATCCGACCGCCGATGTAGTCCATGTGGCATTTCAGTGCGCTGGCCGTCAGGGTCTAGTGGGGCCCTCTTGGGGTGTATGCGCCCGTCGTGGAGGCCTTCAAGATCTCCTTGAGAGCTTTCGTCGGGTGCTCTGCAGCCATCTCGAAGCCGTGTGGAGCCCCCTTGGGTTGCCTTAGGGCCGTGTGGGTTGGACACATTGCGGTGTCCTTTGCTGTTGGTATTTGCAGGGTTCGATGGGCCCGTCTTTGCGGGCGTCTCGGGTCTTTGGACATCTCGGGTCTTGGGACATCTCGGGGGCCTCTCCGGGGGGAGCCCTTGGGGGGTATGCGCTGGAGATTCTTGGGCGCCTGTTCGGGACCCACGGGCCAGCTTGTGAGGTGGGATGGTACCTTGGTATCGCTCGGACGTGTGCATTTTCTCGGCGAGCACCATCGAGGAGCATCTTGGGTCACCCTGCGACAAAAATACACGCACGATATCGAGACATGTACAGGGAATGGACGTTCGAAAGATGGCCAGGTACGTACAGATGTCGAATCGTAGTCCTGTGGTCATGAATTCCTTCTTGGGCCCATCTTTGAGGTTGTGGGGGTGTCTTGCGTTCATCTTGCGGAGCTCTTGCGCTCTTGGGAGCCTTGTGTGTGTTGGACGCTTTCGAGATCGAATAGGCGAGACGTGTGGAAATCCTGCACGCATCCTAGGATTATATCGGGCGTGTCCCCCTACAGAGGGATTTTCGACGAAAAATAAAAAATACCCCAAGCATAGTCCAAAAATACCAAAAATAGTCTGGGGACTATTTTTTTTGTATTTTGTTTTACCTTTTTGGGGTATTTTCTTTGGGTATGTTTTATTTTTCGTCGAAAATCCCCCTGTAGGGGGACACGCCCGACTTAATCCTGGGATTTGCATGACCCTAAAGCTTACGCAACACCGCCGACTCCTTGGGCTTTTTTTGTTGCGGTTGCCCCGGCATCCTTTCGCATTGCCGACGTGGAGCAGCGCTTGCCACGGCGAGCCCACAGGGGACGGCGCAGGTGTAGGCACAGAGCAACGGTGGAGGCGTGCGCGCTCGGTGTGGCCCGCCCCCATTCACACAGGAGTGTTGGCAGTGATGGTGCTGCTGTTGTGCCAGCGCTGCGCGCAGAGGCCCCGCTGTTTCCGGGGTGTTGCGTGGGGCGCCTCTCGTGCGCTCTCCGGAGGCCTGCTGGTAATCACACGGAGGGGTTCTGCGGGGGGCTTCTGTCTCCAAGAGCACACGGGTATGTCTCGAGATGAGGAAGAGGATAAAGGAGGAGGGCGAGGACGATGGAGGAGGAGGAGGAGGAGGAGGGGAGGACCGCAAGGGCAGGGGTACGAGAGGGTCCAACCCTGCTTCTCTCGCAAGCAAGACCGCTGCAGCTGGGCGTTCAGATTGCCTTTGTGATGGGGGAAATGGGTTCCTCACGCGCGCAGGGCATGGGCATCTTGAGGGCTCCTGGGAGCCTTTGGGAGGCCTCTTGGGGGCACCTTAGGGGCATCTTGGGGCCTCTTGGGGCCGACTTGAGGCTCTGGGGCCGTATTGGGGGCCTGCTGGGACACCTTGTGGCCTTCTTGGGCCGTCTCGGTGCTCTCTTGAGTGCTTCCTTGGCCGTCTTGGCCTCGTCAGAGACCAGTTGGGCCGTCTTGAGGTGATCTGGGGGGCCTCGGGCCGTCTTGGACGCGTGCAAAACCCAAAGGCGAACATGCAACATGCTGAACATGCAAGTTGTCTTGAGTTGGCGGACGCACCCACCAAGATGCGGCCAAAAGGGCACGCGGGCAGGCCGATCCTGGAGGCCCGCCCGGCCGAGGCCAGTATCGCAGTGCAGCAGGCGTGCTCCTGCAGCCGGGGTGTCCCACCGAGGCTGCCAGTTGGGCCCACGAGGCGTGTCCAGGCGGGCGGGCGGGGCTCTGTGGTCCAGTATCGTTAAACCGATCCCCTCGTGAGCCCCACCATGCCCATCCCCACCCCCATCCTGATCCCCACCATCCCACCGACCACAGTTGGGATATACCCTGCGAAGTCCGAATTGAACAGCACATAGCCCCATCTCCACCTAGGGGGGTAGATCGGCCAGTGGGGCCAAGGCCACGCCACTGGGGATGGGGATCCGTTGAGCGATTCTCAGTCGCCTCTCGCTGCGTGGCCCGCCAGCCTGCGCCGCGGTGGCACCGCTCGGAGCCCTGCCGAGGCGACGTGATAACGGCCATCACGTTCGTGGCGCTCGGCACTTCCATGCCAGACCTCTTCGCCTCCCTGGCTGCTGCCAAGGACGCTTCGGATGTTGGGGGGGGTTCTGCGGGGCGGGGCGGAGAGTGCACGAGAGGGGGGGGGCATGGCGACGATGACGGTGACGGTGACGATGACGATGACGATCACGAAGTCGATCACGATGACGATGACGAAGACGACGACGACGATGACGATGATGATGATGTTGATGATGATGGTGGTGATGCTGATGGTGAAATTGATGATGATTATGATTATGGTGATAATTATGCTGATGGTGATGATGATGATGCTGAGGAGGAGGAGGAACATGGATAGGAACATGCAGACGAAGATGATGCTGATAGTGGTGCGGATGAAGATGATAACGACCCTGCCGATGCAAGCATGGCGACGGCAACCAGCGATGGCCGATTACTATGGCGGGTTTGGTGGTCGCACAAGAGAATGGCGATAAACGACACGATGACAGTGGCTTCGATGACGACGACGTTAACGCCTCTTGCTCGTTATCCTCCCTTCTCGTGGTCGTCCTCCTATCCTTCTCCCTCATCCTGCGCCCGCGCCGTCCGTCCCATCCCCCGTCCTCCCCCGCGTCGTCCTCCCCCGTCCTCCACTCGCCACGAAGGGGGTCCTGACCTGAGGGAAACGGGTCCTGAGCTTTTGTTGCATCTTGTGGTTTCTGGGGCATTTCCCGGGCCTCAGGAGCATAAACAAACAATTCGATATAAAACGCAGACCCTAGAGTCAGCCCGGTGGTCCAAGACACGTCTCCCTCAGGATTCTTTCTCCTTGTATTTGGCATCGCTCGGACGCGTGCACTTTGTTTCTGGCGGGGACAATCGAGCAGCATCCTGGATCAGTTTGCGGAACACAAGCGCACGAAGCCGAAAAAGGTACGGGGAATGGACGTCCGAGCGATGGCGTTCTGAGCCCCTCGCCCCCTGCCGCTCCGATCCCCTCCTGGGGTCCTCCCCCGCGCGCGCGCGACGGATGCAGGGCTGCCGCAGAGAGGTCGTCAGCAAGGGGGGCCCAGGGAGCCGCGCTTTCTGTCTTCGGCATTGCATTTTCCATTGCTTGGTTGAAATATTGTAGCATTTGTGTAAATCATCATTGTCGTTCAAAGACAAATGCAATCCTGGGCTGGGGAGTCATCATGGTCCAGGGGGTGGCGCAGGAGCCCGAAGGTCATTGTGCTCATCGCGTCGCGCAGCCTCCCAGGCCCGAAGCGAGTCGACGTGGATCGGCGGGAGGTGTCCGAAGGAGCGAATGGGCGAGTCCCGTCGGCGGCGTGTGGAGGAAGCAAGAACTGGTCTGAGCTCAGGCTGCGAGAAGATTCGCACCGCGCTCTCGCCCCAGCGCGCGCCACATTCCTGGAGTTGAGTCCCTCGTCGTTCCCCTCCTTTCCACTCCTCTCGCCCCCTCCTGTTCCCTCCCCCTTCGTCCCCCCCCTGCCCCTCCAGCTCCTCCTACGGACTCCCAGTCCGGCTGCCGTTCCTCCTCGCCCTGCTTTTGGGCTCAGAATGAGCCCAGCCGCACACAGGGAAGCACACGACACCGCGCTTGGCGGTCTGGGCCGACGGACACGTGGCCTTCTCAGCAGGGCCAGCGCGAGGACGATGCCGCCCTTTGCGCAGCGCGAGCCGCGAAGTCAGCTGGCATGCAGCGACTGTGCCCCCTTCTCACACCGCGCGGTGGCGAAGCCGGCAGTCGTCATCGCAGGAGCCATCCCCGCCCTCGCCGAGACGGGGTGAGCTCGCTGTCAGGGCTGGACCTGGACGCTGTCTTGCTGGACATCGGCTATGTGCTGTTTCTCGTTCTGGCAGGGAGGTACAGGAAAACAGGCAGGGCAAAGCGACAGGCAAAACGAACACACGTCGAGCAGCAACGTCTTCAGCCCTGCTCTCTGTCCCGTCGTGCCCCCTCGAGGTGGGGAGACCGGGCCGCGAAGCCCCATCAAGAGGGCAGCTAAGCCCACACCGGCTGGTGTGCAGGCCGGCCAGCAGGGCCAAGGCTTTCCCGCTCGGGGTGGCGGTGCCTGTGCTTGCCCAGGAGCAGATCTGCCCGCGGTGCCCTAGAGGCAGAAGGCGTGTTCCAGCCCCCTCCTCCTCCTCCTCCCTCCTCCTCCTCCTCCTCCTCCTCCCCCTCCTCCTCCTCCTCCTCCTCCTCCTCCTCCTCCTCCTCCTCCTCCTCTCCCTCCTTCCTGGAGGCCTGCGAAGGCCTCCGAGCAGCTCCCGCGCCCGCCGCGCTCGCAGGAGGACGAGACCGCCGACGCGTCGGTGGTGAACGTCACCGGGAGCAACTCGGTGAACGTCTTCTTAGGCCGCCCGGCCGGCGCACGGCAGCAGTCGCCCTCGTCACAGAGGTCTGTCCGCAGGAGTTTTGTGCTGTTTGGTCTGCTGTTGTTGCGTTTCGGGGTTGCTGTTTTGTTGTTTCTTGCTTAAGGGGTCACATGCGAACCCTACCCCTACCCCCCACGATTTCTGACGGGGAAAGTGGGGTTCACTTCGCTCGGGAGCTCCCGAACGAAGTGAACCCCACCCTCCCTCTCAGAAATCTTGGGGGTAGGGGTAGGGTTCGCATGCGGTCCCCTAGTTGCTTTGTTGTTTCTCGTGGTTGCTACATTTTTTCGTTTTGTCATTGCTGCTGCTGGTGTTGCTTGCCTCCTGGAGGCTCCACGTTGTCGCCACGGCTGGATCCACAAGATGTGTGTTGGCTAGTCTGCATGCTGAACTTCACTCGAGCTCGTGATAAATGGATGACACCCCCACAGCGCTGATGAACAGGCTCCGCGGGGCGCGAACGCATTGCTCGATCCCGCGCGCCATGGTTCGGGGCTGCCACCGCGCCGCGGACGAGGACGAGCGGGATGCACGGCGCGCCAGCTCCGAGGGGGGGGGCGCCCGCTCAGCGCAGCCCAGCGCACGTGCAAGCCGCGTTCCGCGCTGCCCCCGTGAAGAGGCGACCTCCTCCACTTGCGTGCCCCGCAGTGCGCGCTGCCCGCTGCACTGGGCTCGCGAGCGTGCGCCGCTCGAGGCTCGAGGTTTCGTTGGGGCCCTGCCTCCAGTGGCTCGTCCGGCCTGCGATCTCCTGGCTGGTCGCCGCTGCGGTTTTCCCTCGGGCACGCGGTTGGTGCCAGACGCCAGTTTGAGCTACCCTGAAAATTTTCAAACACACTCATCGCCCGCCCTCATCTCCAGGAGGCCGCGGCGGAGGAGGAGGAGGACGAGGAGGAGGATGAGGATGATGACGGGGAGGCGGAGGAGGAGGAACCTGTCCTGGCGGGAATTCAAGGGTCGAGGAGGAGCAGGAGGAGGAGGAGGAGGAGGAGGAGGAACTTGTCCTGGCGGGAACTCAAGAATCCAGGGCCCTATTCTGGCTCGACCACAAAAACTCCGACCAGGGCGACGGACTGGCTGCCTGGTAGCGCCGCAGGGGGACGCCGCGAGCCGAACAGGGAAACGACTGCGGCGTCGGGGAGGGGGCCTTCCCCGGCGGGGACGGCCCTTGCCTCTGCCGCCCCTCCCCCCTCCCCCCCTCCTCCTCCTCCTCCTCCTCCTCCTCCTCCTCCTCCTCCTCCTCCTCCTCCTCCTCCTCCTCCTCCTCCTCCTCCTCCTCCTCCTCCTCCTTCCCCCCTTCCTTCCTCCTGGCCACGTCAAGTGTCTCTGCGCCTCGCGCGGCCTCCCGAGCGCTCCCTGCGCCCCCGCGCTCCTCACATCCCCCCCCCCGCCTCGGGCCGCGCTCCGGCTCGGGCCGCCCGCGCGGGGCGGTGGTTAAAACGACGCGAAGATCGGGACAAAATCGGATCGGGATAACTCGAATTCTCTGAGAATCGGCGGTTTTGGAGGATGTATTGGGCCCCGCGGCCGCTCCAGAGCGTTCCGGAACGCACTGAGAGCGCTCCGGAACGATCTGAAGCGATTTATCCCGATCCTAGCCCTGTTTTAGTGGTGTTTTTGCCCGCCTGGCGTGGCTCCTGGGCCAGGGCAGAGTCCCCGGCATCGCTCGGACGTGTGCATCTCTGTCTCGGCGAGAACCACCGAGGACCATCCTGGACCATCGAGCGACAAAAACACGCGCGAAGCCGAAGCAATGCACGGGAGATGGACGTCCGAGCGACGGCAAGAGTCTGGCAGACGGACGGCGCTGCGCATCCAGGTCGTGCCCGAGGGCATGGACATCCATGTGGAGCTGGTGTTAAGTCGGGCCTGTCCCCCTACAGGGGGATTTTCGACGAAAAATAAGGAATACCCTAAGAATAATAAAAAATAGTCAAAAAATAGTCCGGGCACTATTTTTTGAGTATTGTTTTACCTTTTTCTTGTATGTTCGGGGTATTTTTTATTTTTCGTCGAAAATCCCCCTGTAGAGGGCCACGCCCGACATAAAGCTGGTGCCCATGCAAGCCCCTTCTTGTGGGCACCCAGGATGCACTCGTGGTTTTGCTCCGTCACCTCGTCCGCTCGGAGCCCGGCTGCATCAAATGTGGGTCATGGTCGTAGGCTCTCCTAATGGCATGGCATTTCACAGCTCAGCATCAAGTTCCGGACACTGCCCAACAACCCGCGCGGCGCTTGGGACGATTACGGCGGTGATGACGGTGATGGAGGCGAAGGTGGTGATAGAGCTCTCGGGTTTTCAGGACGGTCCTGCCGGCGACGATCCCTGGAGTGGCGGCTGTGACCCATGGTCAGAGGCAGCCAAGAAGCCGCGGACCCATGGTGATGTCCATCGTCCTTTTGTCCCGCCCTTCCCCTTCAACCCGCTTGCCATGGAGTGTCGTCCATATGGTGAGCAGGAGGCAATCGCGTGCGATTTGATTCAGCAACTTGGTGATCACACGGACATGCAGTGCGCGCGCGAGGGTGTTCCGCATATTTCCCTTCCTGGCTCCTTTCTCGTCGTTTCCCGGCTCCTTTCCCTTCCTCCGGCTTCCCTTGTTCCTCCTGCTCCCCCCGTTTCTCCTCCCCTTGCTCCTGCTGATGATATGTTTCTCGTCCTCGTCCTTTCTCGTCCCCATCCTTGTCGTGCTCATCCTTTTGCTCATCTGCCGCCACCTCCTCCTCCCGCTAATCCCTTTATCATTGTGCTCATCTCCCCTTTTCCGGTTGCGCATAAGACCGCGTGGGGTCCTTTTTGGAGTTCCAGGTCCGCTCTGAAACCCGTCGGCGGATAGAGAAGAACCAGCGCAATGGTAAGGGATGTTGGAGGTATAGGACGTCACACCTGACGCAAGCGCACCTCCGCCCCAATCGCCTCTCCGCCCGGTCCCCCTTTCCACTCCCCCCCTTGTCCCATCTGTTCCTCTCCCCCCTTCCCCCCTTCCCCTTCCCGCCCCTCCCCCCTCCTCACCTCTCCCGGCACTTCGCCCTCCTGTGGCTGCGCAGTTGGCCCGCAGTGCCAGGGTCGGCGCAGCGGGACTCGCAGTATCAGAGCCTGTGACGGTCCAAAGGGGTATTTTCCTTTGAGTACCCGGCACCACTCGGCGTCACACACGCCACCGTCGTCGTGGCTCAAGAGGCGGGGGTCAATGCAAAGGGGGGTCAGGCAGAGCGCCGGATCTTGCAGGATCCTGCGGAGCCAGGCGTGCACTGACCCGGTCTTGGGTGCAGGATTCTGCAGAATCCTGCAGGATCCTGCAGTGCCTGACTGACCCGGGTCAGTAGATTTAGGTCGGGCGTGTCCCCCTACAGGCGGATTGCGCAAGACAAATTAAAAATATGTTACAATATTCCAGAAAGGTCAAACATAATCCAAACATCGTCCCCTGACTATCTTTTAACTTTTTTGAATACTCCTCCAGTAAAGGGGCACGCCCGACTTAACAGTAGATCCCCGACGTCGGACGGTGGCTGCGAGCAGCCAGGCGACCAGCTCCACGCTCTTGTCCCATCGCGCTTCTTCGCTCGGTGCCTCGCGACTCCCGGTGACGCTCGTCTGCGCCTTCCTGCGCACTCCCCGCCCTCCCCCTCCCCTCCACTCGTCAAGGCCTTGGACTTCCGTGGAGCATCTGCTCCTTCTATTGGGGGTTCAAGGAGTGCTGCCCTCGTCCTCACTCTCCTGGCCTGCCCCCCGCCGCCCAGGAGAGGCGGTTCGACACTCGCGCCGCCGCGTCCTCCCTCCCGCCCCCCGCACGCCCCACCTCCGGGGCACCGTCATAGGGGGGAGGGGAGGCATCGAACCTCAATCTTCCATTCACCGCCGATAGGGGCAGAATCGCTATCGGGGCACATCGCCGATCTGTCGGCGATGCGTCTCGTCGGAATTCTGCTCACTGTTTCCCCCCCGATCCCGGTGCCCCCCTAGCCTTCCCCATCGCATCCTCCCTCCCGCCCGCTCTCCCGCACGTTCCGCCAGCACTTGTAATGAGGCATCCGATGTCTGAACAAGACACGGCGCGAATCTGTGCAGAGAGTAGATGGTGGATTTTGGACGAGGAAAAGGAGGAGGAGGTGGTGGTGCAGGAGGCAAGAGGAGGAGGAGGAGGAGGAGGAGGAGGAGGAGGAGGAGGAGACGAGGAGGCGGTCGAGTGCGAGGCCAAGGTCGAGCGGCTAGGCCCTGCTGCGGGGCTCGAGGCCCCGCGGGCCACGGGCAGCTGGCCTCGGACGCTGGACGAGCTCTACGTCAGCTTCGCGGCGCTGATGGAGGAGGACTTGGGCGGCTTTTTCGACATGGAGCAGGAGGACCTGATGAAGTGCGCGGGCCGCGGCGAGTCCGCCCGTTTCCAGGAGGGCACCATCAGCGCCAGCAGGCGGGGGACGCGCGCCCGCGGCTCCCCGCAGGCGCGCACCTGGCACAGGATCGCGGCGCTGCTTTGGGAGTTGCTGGCCAGCAGGCGCCGCTGGCGGGCGCCGCACCTCGTCTCGAGGGAGCTGGACGTGCTGGCGCGGCTGCAGGCCAAGATAGGCAAGCTGGCTGCGCAGGACCTGGTTGGCGACATCGGCCTTAATTTCCTGTCACTGCTGGTGGGCTGCTCCTTCGCCACGACGCTGCTCCGCGTGGTGCTGGTCGAGCCTTTGGACGCGAAGCTGGCGGCCTGGCAGAGGGTGTGTTCATATTTGTTGGTCGACGACATCACGGTGGCGGTCTACGCCAAGCGAGCGCAGCTTGAGCATTTTTTGGTCGGGGCCACCCGCGCCCTCGGCTTGGACCTGGAGGCCATCGGCTTCGTCATCTCCTTGACGAAGGGCCAGGTTCTGTGCACCGACTCCGACATCGCCAAGCGGGTCGCCCACAGGCTCAGACGATGGAGGTTCACACGCGTGAAGGCCATGAAGAACCTCGGCGTGGACTTCACTATGGCGAGGTCGGCCTCGTGGAGGGTGCTACGGCAGAGGATCGATCGCCTGAGCCAGAGGGCTGGGCGGTACAGGGCCTTGCGCAAGGCGGGGGCCAAGAGGCTCTCCAAGGTTGTCAGGACAGGAGGGCTGGCATCCATCCTCCACGGAGCGAGGGTCAGTGGAGCACCCACGAAGACCCTGCAGCGCGCCCGAGCAATCAACGGCAGGGCCACCTCGGGCGAGTTCGGCCAGGGATCCAGGGCGGTCGTCTTCGCCTTGCAGGACGGCAAGGACTGGAAACACGACCCCGCCTACGCGGCGCACGTCCTACCGCTGAGGGCTTGGGCGCGAGCCGTCTTCCTAGGCGCGCGGCCCCCTGCGGTCTTCAAGCAGGTGCTGGAGCGCAGACCAGACGACTGGGGCGAGGTCACTGGGCCAACTGGGGCGGTCCGCCTCTCGCTGGAGCGCATCGGCTGGGAGCTGTTGAATTGGCACTGCTTGAGGGACGACCGGGGGCAGTTCATCGACTTGCAGCCGCTCAGCCCGCGGATGGTAGCCAGCCTGGTCGAGGATGGGGTCCACCGTCACCTCATGCTGAAGATTGCGAGCCACGAGGGGTTCGAACATCTCCAGGGCCGCCCGCCGAGCCTGGAGCCATTGAGGGCGGCATTGGCGGGCATGCGGCGTGCAGGTAAGGTGCAGGAGGCAGCGCTGGGAGATGCACATAAGGCAGGAGGGCTCGTCACGCAGTCCGACCTGTACGTTGAGAGGGCAGAGCTCAGCCCGCTGGGCCAGTGGTGCGGAGAAGCACCAGGCACGGCGCACCGCAGGCTGTTCGCATGCCCCGCCATCGCCTGCTGGGCGCGCGACCTGGGTTTCCAGGAGACCGCCGACGCAGGCAGGAGGGCGCCGCAGGACGACCTGGGCCTGGTCAGGGGCCTCGTCCACCACGGGCTGGACCAAGGCCCGCCCCCAGGCATGGACGAGCTCTGCCATCGCGCAGGCAGCGCGAGGCACGGCCTCCGCGAAGGTGTCATCTGCATCGACGGGTCCGCGAGGTACCCCGAGGCCCCGTGCCTGACGCGCACGGGTTGGGCAGCCGTGGCGGTAGACGACGTCGGGAACACCGTCGGCGGCTTCCTCGGGCTCACGCCAGGCTGGATCCAGGAGATCGGCTATGCTGAGCTCTACGCGCTGCGCAAAGTTTTGGAGGAGGTCGGCCCATCGCCCATCACGGTCTACACGGACTGTAAGAAGGAGATCAAAGACGGCTTAGAGGCGGGCCGTGAACGCTGCTGCGGCCCAGGCCACAAATATGCGGACCTGTGGAGACGGGTCTGGCAGCGGCTCGACGACCTCGGCCCTGGTTTCCTCACGTTGACGTGGCTGCCGTCGCACACTTCGTGGGCCAGGGCCTGTGTGGCAGGGGTGCCATGGCAGGCGTACGCGGGCAACAGGGAGGCAGACCTGAAGGCGAAGGAGGGCGCCAGGCTCCACCCCAGGCAGGAGCAGCAGAGTGAGCTGAGCCGCCGCCTGAACGCTGCCGCCGTGCAAGCAGAGGCCTGGTGCGGCCACCAGACGGGTGGCTGCATCGGGTTTTGTCGAACAGGCGGGGCCCACGGGAGTCGCCAAGCAAGGTTCCTGGCCGACCCCTGCGTCCCGCTGGTCAGCAAGGGCCGTAATGCGGCTCGCCTGGCCCGCCGCGCCCTCGAGCGTCTCAGAGCGGGGCGGGAACCCCAGACTGGCTGCCGCTGGGGAGCGGCCCCGTTCCCAGTCTCGAGGGCGGCGGCGAGGAGGGTTTAATCTATCTTTGGTTTTGATTGGGCTCCAAGGGGCCCCCCGCGCCAGGCCTCCTGCCTGGCGGGTCCTGGGTCTGCCGTGGAGTGTTTTGATCCCCGTTTGGGGCCGAGGCTGGTTTGCAGAGCGGACCGCCTTCTGGTAGGAACTAGAGGAACTAGAGGAGGAGGAGGAAAAGGAGGAGGAGGAGGAGGAGGAGGAGGAGGAGGATGAGGAGGAGGAGGAGGAGGAGGAGGAGGAGGAGGAGGAGGAGGAGGAGGATGAGGCGGGGTTCAGGCAGGAGGGGGAGCAGGCAGGAGGAGAAGGAGGAGGCAGGTGTAGGTGGAAGAAGGTAGGGAGCAGGAGGAGATCCCAGGGCAAGTTTAATATATTCTCATGTGGGTCCCACCGTCGGAGTATTTTTTTAGTATTGATGATTTTCCGTCCAAAACCCGCCTGTAGGGGGACATGCCCGACCGAATGCTGGTCATGGTCTATGAAGGAAGCGCCAACATGGATGGAGGCAGCGTGGATTCGTGTCGGATCCCCCTTCCACATGCGGAATCGGAGCGTTCCGTCCCCACATGAGGCGGCACTGGCTCCAGTTGTTGGGGGTTACCTTTCTCGATCCATGGATCTGGGGCTCGCGCCGCAGATCCACGGAACCCAAGTCCATGTTAGCGCGTGCCCGAGCTCAGGTGAAGGGGTGGGGGGTCTTGCGGCGTGGGTTCGGTGGCGAGTTGAAGGGGGCCTTGGACGATGCAAGACGGAACTTGCTAGACCACCCCCCGCCTGCCAAGGGTCCCTCCTCCAGCTCAGTCCCGCTCCCGTGGCCTCCCCCCCCCGCCCTGCTGCTCCTGACGTCCTCGGCAGTGGCGTGTCCCGTGGCGCCGCCGCAGACTGCCGTGGAGACCGCCCGGAGGCCGCCGAGTGCCGATGGGCACCAGGGGAGGGCGCCACTGTCCAATGCACAGCCCCGTTTCTTGGCCATTGCAGGGGGGGGGCAGGCTCGTCAGGTGCTCGTTTTGAGGGCTTCCCTGGGGACCACCAAACGGATCTGTTCGACTCTAGCTCGACCCAACTTCGACGCCATGTCGACTCAAGTTCGACTCAGGTTTAAATCGGGTTCGGCTCAAGCTCGAGTCGAGTCGACGGGCAATCGACGCAGCGTCGATGCACGATTGAAGCCAGTGGCTACAGGAAGGTCCCCAGAACGAGTATCTTAGGCTCAGGGGGGAGTGCATCAACCACAAGATTGCCCCCTCTCATCGCCGATAGGGGGCCTGATAGCCTACCCCGCCCAGGAAGCTGCGTTTTTGCCACCGGGGGCCTATCGCCGAGCAGTCGGCGGGACATCGCCGATTCCCCCTGGCGTTCCCCCTCCTCCCTGGCCTCCTCCCCCCTCCCTCTCCTCGTCGAGGCCTTGGACTTCCGTGGACAGTCTGCTCGGTCTATTGGGCTTTCAAGGACCCCACACCCCGCGCGCTTGCACAGCCCACCGCCACGGGGACCCGCGCCGCCGGCGGCGCGGGCCCACGCCGCCGGCCGTGGAGCAGTCCGGGCGTGCGCGTGCGCCTGCGCGCGTGCGCTGAGGGCGCGCGCAGGGTGCGGGGGCGCGTGCGCACGCGCGTGCGCGCGTTCGGCCCTGCCGAGCAGGGAGGCAGCGCGAGGCCGAGCGCCTGGGGGACGCACGCCGTCGTCCTCGTCCTCGCTGTCATCTTCGCCGTCCTCGTCGCTTTCGTCGGCGTCGTCGTCGTCGTCGTCGTCGTCGTCGTCGTCGTCGTCGTCGTCGTCGTCATGCGTGCGCTCGGCTGGAGGGCGTGGGCGCGAAGATGATCGCGCTTCCCGCTTCGCGGCCTGCGCCCTGGGGCGCTGTCCTCCAAGGCGGCGGCGTCGGGACGCGAGGACAACCGCGCGTCGCGGGGCGTAGTGCGCGATGTTACGTTGCGGATAAGATTCTGTCCATGTCCATTGCGTCTTGGATTTTCTTGGAAGGGGCCCCAAACGGCCGAGGCGCAGGGGACATGTGTAGAAATCTAGGACCGACTTTTGTCCATAGCGTAGAAATCTAGGACAGATTTTTGTCCATAGCCTCTGCGCCTCTGGTTTCTGGGAAAGGGAGCCCGACACTCCAAGACACAGTGGAAATGGGCACGGATCTTGCCTGCATGCGTGACCCAGAGGGGGAGAGTGAGGTGGAGGCGGACGCTGCACATAGAAGCTGTGCGTTTCCAGGCTCATAGCTTGGGCCACTTCCCATCATTTCGCGAGCGGCCATCGCACCAGTAACTTGGGCCCTGGGGAAAAAAGAGGAGGATGTTGACCGAATTGCCCATTGCCAGAGGTGGCCCGCCCCTTTCGCTTCATCGCGACGGCGTCGACGAGGTCCCCTCTGGACCTTGTCGGGCCGTCTGGGTGTATCCATGCGAAGCCTAAGGTTGCGGGGACTGTCAGCAACACCCAGGAGGGGGAGGAATAGAATAAAGAGGGGAAGGAAGATGAATCTACGCATCCACTTTGGCTCAATGTGCAAAGACATTGAATCTCCAGGTGTTGTGCATTTTGGCATCGGGATTGCGGCTCCATCCACTTCCCCGGCGCACCCAGTGCGCCTCTGTTATGCTCGCACCATCGTGTTTTAGCTATCTCTGGTACCATCACGCGGTGATTTCAGATGTCTGACCCCACCAGTCTTGGGTCAATCTTGGACAACTGCCAAAGGGTCATGGACAGACTGCCAAAGGGTGAAGACGTAGGGGCAAATCCTTTGCGATTCTATGTGCGCCCTGCGGGGGGAGGATTTATTCCGCATCAGTTCCAGAGGTGCAAGCATTGTCGCGGTCCGCTCGTGCATGTGCGGCTCTTTTTCCCCGGCCGCCGCCGTGGAAAACGGCAGGGTCCCCAACCCAGTGTTTCCACCTTGACGGAGCACGCTGTCTTTCCAGCTGAAGTGGTGGGCAGGGAAAGGAAAGGACGGCAAGGGTAAGCGATTCATCATTGGAACGCTCACTATGCCAGGCGTTCGGGTTCACTGTGCGCCTCCAGTTTTGCCCGCAGGTGCCTGTGCCCGACACCACCGCGGACGAAGCCAACAAGATGGCCGAACTGTCTCCGGAAGCTTGTGATGTCCACCGCGCCCAACATTATGAGCAGCTGGCGGCGTCTCCTGTTTTGCAGGGTGAGTAGACTACCCAGCCATCGGCGCATGACAGAATTCAGCAATCTCATGCCGAGGCCACAGACATATGCAACTGGAATGGAAACTTGCGAAGACCCCGCGGCAGAGACCGTATGTGAAGCAGAAAATTGGCCCTGCATCTAGAGTGTTGAACAAGAGACAACGCATTCAAGGCGGCAGCACAAAAACTTCCCGAACCAGCTCTGGCAGCTGCCGCGGCCCCGCCAGGGCAGGTGGACAGCAAGGGCTTCCACCGAAGGGCCGGACTCGGTTCGTTCGTCATCACTGAGTATTCGCTCGATGTTGACAAAGATGGCGAAGAGTTTGAGCTTGTGGATCATGCAAATATAAGTTCATGGCCAGGAAGCGTCATGCGTCCAGCGTGTTGCGACCCAATATTTCCAAGAAGGTGCTTTGGCAGCATCTACCAGTTTGATCACGAGCGGCTCCGGAGCCTGTGTTCCAAGAGGAGAGGTGCAGAACTGATGGACGCGGCGCATCCGGGCGCTGCTGGGTTTCGGGTACAGCCACCCGGCCGTCAGAGCGCGTCAGAGCGCCACGTGCTTGCTCCTGCTGGTGTTCCAGCCACCCCCCTGGCCTTCGCAGCTGGTGGATCAGGGATTGCCACGGAGCGCCCCTATCCGCTGCTTCCCTTGCTGGAATTGGTGAAGGCGCGGCCCCGCCTTTCCAGCAGTGGCCAGGCACGGGCGTGCCAGCTGCTGACCGCTGCTCGACTGCTTGCTCAGCCCACACACGCCCCCCCCCAGCGGTGAGCTAGTGCGGGGTGCAGATTTGGATTGCTCACTCCTGCAGTGTCCAGCTCCTGGTGCCCCATCTGGCCTCTGGATCCACCCTTCCCCCGGCAGGGCCTGCAGCGGCGCGCGGCTTGGGATCGGTGGTGGTCAAACGCAAGCCCCGCGCAGGCCCCCCTTTCGGGGCCGAGTCCGTTCCTGGACCAGCCCCCCCCCGTCTGGGAGGGCTCGACCAGTGTCGATGCGGCTTTTATTTTGTTCCTTGAATGTGTTGCTCCGCGCGCGAATTCAGCGCCGCGTGCTGGGGCCGCTCCACTTCCGGTTGTGTTTGGACGGGTCGAGAGTTGAGTTGCCGCGGTGTTTATCAGCGCGCGAACCAATGGTGCGTGCGCAATTGCATCCCGGTGCATTTATTGTTCCGTTGTTGACCGAGCGCGCGCCGTTTTCGCTTGTCGGCATGTCTTCCCCGACCGCCCGTGCCCGAGGCCGCCTTCTCCGCCGCTGTCTGGAGCCCCCATGATGCTGGGAGCGCCGCCATCATGTTTGGTTGTCAATTGCAACCGTTTGTAGGCGTTTCTGGACCATCGAGTCCTACCCATTTGCCGAGGTTTCCACCTTCGCGGAAGATAGGTTGAGGCGTCAGGCGTCCCTTCGCAGGGTTCCTGCGCGTGCCCGACGACTGCTACTGTAGGGCATCGCGGAATCATTCGCTCGTCTTGGGTTTGCCGCACATCGACGACTGGCGCCTAATCGTGGCCAGCGTCGCCAGGGGGTGCCCAGCAGGGCTCAGTTGCGCCGGGTGGCGTGAATTCGCCCCCGCAAGCAACCGAGACCGCCCAGCGGCGCTGCGCGCGGGGAATGCGCCGCGCCCGTTTCGATCGCGATTGGGCGCGCTGTCGGGCGCCAATGGGGCGATCGACAGCTTCGAGAGTGTTGTGTGTGAGATTGGCCTGAACGTCGCCATGCGCCGGTGGTGCAGCGGCGCCCCGAGAGGGGGTCTGTTCGGGGGCGGCTACTGCAGCTCGTGGCTGGCTGGGGCTCTGCGATATGGAGCGCGCGTGTGTGAGGGGGTTCTTGGACGGGCCCTGGCCATTGCGGCGCGTGCTGCGGCTGCTCCTCCTCTTTGGCTTCGGCGCGCGCGGGCCGCCGCGTGGGCCCCGGCCAAATTAACGCGCGCCCCCTAGTTGCGCGCGGCGACCAGATGCCCAGCTCGACGATTTCACGGTCGTGGGCAGCGTTGGCTTCGTTCCCGAGGTACCTCGGCGCCGCCGCCCGTCAGGTTCTGCGAGGCGGCGCGATTTTTACTTAACAGCGAAGACTGATAGGTTTCTAGTGGTGTCAAAAGAGAGCAGCAGGTGACTCCACAGGGGGGTCCGGGCAGGACCCGGGGCGGCTGCCGCCGAAGCCCAAATCGCTTGGGACATCCTCGCAAAATCGCTCTTGGCGCTGCTAGAACTCAATTCCCGGCGTACATTTTGGATGCCCGGAGCCAACTGTAGGCCACGTCGTGGTCTTCGAGTTCCCAGAACTCCATTCCCGGCGTACATTTTGGATGCCCGGAGGCAACTGTAGGCCACTTCGTGGCCTTCGAGTTCCCAGAACTCCACTCCCGGGCTACATTTTGGATGCCCGGAGCCAATTGTAGGCCACTTCGTGGTTTTCGAGTTTCCAGAATTCCATTCCCAGGCCACATTTTGGATGCCCGGAGCCAACTGTAGGCCACATCGTGGTCTTCGAGTTCCCAGAACACCATTCCCGGGCCACATTTTGAATGCCCGGAGGCAACTGTAGGCCACTTCGTGATCTTCGAGTTCCCAGAACTCCATTCCCGGGCCACATTTTGAATGCTGAGGCAGGCTGAGGCTGAGGCTGAGGCAGGCTGAGGCTGAGGCAGGCTGAGGCCGAGGCTGAAGGCAGACTGAGGCTGAGGCTGAAGCAGGCTGAGGCTGAGGCTGAGGCAGGCTGAGGCCGAGGCTGAGGCAGGCTGATGCTGAGGCAGGCTGAGGCTGAGGCGGGCTGAGGCCGATGCAGGCTGAGGCTGAGGCGCGCTGAGGATGAGGCCGAGGCTGAAGGCAGACTGAGGCTGAGGCTGAAGCAGGCTGATGCTGAGGCTGAGGCTGAGGCAGGCTGAGGCTGAGGCTGAGGCAGGCTGATGCTGAGGCTGAGGCTGAGGCTGAGGCTGATGCAGGCTGAGGCTGAGGCAGGCCTGAGGCCGAGGCTGAAGGCAGACTGAGGCTGAGGCTGAAGCAGGCTGAGGCTGAGGCTGAGGCAGGCTGAGGCTGAGGCTGAGGCAGGCTGATGCTGAGGCAGGCTGAGGCTGAGGCTGAGGCTGATGCAGGCTGAGGCTGAGGCAGGCTGAGGCTGAGGCCGAGGCTGAAGGCAGACTGAGGCTGAGGCTGAAGCAGGCTGAGGCTGAGGCTGAGGCAGGCTGAGGCTGAGGCAGGCTGAGGCTGAGGCTGAGGCAGGCTGAGGCTGAGGCTGAGGCTGAGGCTGAGGCTGATGCAGGCTGAGGCTGAGGCAGGCTGAGGCTGAGGCCG